TCATCATCTCAATATAAGAGCAAAACAACACTTAAGAATGAAAGATGTCAATTAAAACTGATCTAAGGAAACTTTACACACAGGCAAATGCACCCACTGGAGCTGGAACTCACTGCAACAGAAAGCTTCCTTGAAGGTAGTTCAAGAGCACGGAATACATTCTTCAAAGAATTCCTCACAAACTTTCTGCTTCAAGGGTAAGGTACACATCCTCGACTTTCTTTTTTCTGACTGTATAAATTGGGCTAACAAAAGATACAATATTTTGATACAGGCTTTGCTCTGGTACAACAGAAACTTCTAGGCACATAGGCCTTTCTTGTCTGAAGATGGATCTGTGCGCCCAAACATTTGCTCGCTTCCTTCAATGCACACACCAGCACATATGCTTAAAGAATCCCACCAGACTAAAAAGAGAATACTCCAACTGCTTGCTCTTAGCCTCAGGAGAAAGGATGGGGGGGAAACAAAAAACAAACCCTAGAGCATGAGAAGCAGGCCACAATATTTAACTTAACATAAAAACAGCTCTCTCCTACTATAAGATCTCTTGGACTTCTGTTTAAAGATTTTGAGGCTAGCCACAGGAGAAACAGTGGAAATGAATTACACAAACCAGGATCTCAGTGAGCAGCGTAACACACATGCTTTCTGCTAGAGCTGGTAACATGAAAAAGGTAACTTAGTTTTAAAGGTTTTGCTTCCATCTGCCAGAGTGACAGTGTTTCTTGGAGCAATCAGGGACCTGAGCATGGCTGAGCTGCATAGTTTTAGCTTAGAGATGTACTTCAGAGAAATCCCAAGTGACTAACGCACCTAAAAAGATTCTCTGTTCTAATGCCCAAGTGAACACCAACAAGCACTAGACTTCAGACTCCAGCAGACTTTGTAATAAGCAGCCCACTAATTTACCTTTTGTTTGTGTTTTTTGATCATTTCCTTTTTATCTGCAGTGAAGGGAGAGGTGCTAAAGTCTATTTTAAAGATCTCCATCTCAGTTTTCAGAGGTAAAGAGATAGGTGATGGTTTGAATGAGAATCTTAAGACAGCTGCATTTTTATGTATGCAGAAAAGAGTATGTACGTAAAAGAATTCTTATTTCACCCTCCCTAGGAGATTCAGGCAGAACTTGCCAACACCATTTGGGAGTGTGAAGTGCATAAGTACATTATTTAAGTACACTGATTCCATTAAACAGAACCATTCGTTTTCTTTTTCTCTGCAAACACATCTGTCTAAGTGCTCCAGCTTCACAGGGAGCACAGAGAATTTGGAGCATTATCTGCTGGGATTGCGTGTGGCTGGAAGAAAGCAAAGAGATATAGCAGTTGTTTAAAAAGAAAAAAAAAAAAAAAGAGTAGTAGTCAAGTCTTTACTAGTCTGACAGTTCCTAAAATAATGTTGCTTCATTTAAGAATGAACATGCTTATCTTTCAGTGATCTACAGAACCTGACTCAAAGGTTACCTCTCCCTTGCCAGAAAAGCA